CGCCATTTTTTGCCAAACACATTTGGCACGCGTTTTCTTTTTATTATACGTCTGTACAGATATGCATCGGGTCGTTCTGTCTCAATAGCAATCGTAGTGCAAGATGAGATCTACTTCCTGCACTGCCGCAATGTCGACGAGCCGGTGTAGGGTGTCGGCTTGCGACTGTACGCCCTGACTGCCCCGAGCGTTCTCTGGTGTGCGTTGTATCTAATTGCAACACGAAACCGCTATTGCTACCCAATTACCACGCGGACAGCTTTTAATTTCCTGTTAGGTATTACATTTTCTTTGAAACTCCGCTTATTATTTTAATGTGTGCTACAACTACGTATATCTTAACAGAAGTGAGTAATAAAGACAGAGAGGTAATTTGTGTAACAACCAACACCAGTTAACACGATGAATTGGGTGCTAGTCATTCAATTAATAGCATCTTACAGCGGTTATGGATCCAATAAATTATCTTCAATTAGTGAATTGTCCATCACGTTAAACGTTAAGAGACTAGCCCGATATGATAATTGAAATGCATATCACATGTTCAAGGTCAGCAAAGTTCGTTGTAAAAGAAAGGTGATGGACGCACCGAGAGAGATTGCGAGGTTCCGTGGCACACAGGGAAGTGGTTACTGATGGTGTGTAGGCACTTGTGGTGTAGCACAGTGTCGTTGTCTGTAGAGGAAGGTGGTTCGCGGCCGTGGCTCTGTTCTGTGACGAGTGCGCTACGCGAGTGCGCGCGGGCAAGCGGCGCGGGCGCGGCCGACTGTTTCTGCGACATCACGTCGCCGCACAGAGCTCCATTCATTTGTGCGTATGAATGAACGACGTTTAGCACGTGGCCGAAAATCTACTGAAACTTCGCCTAACTCATGACGACAGATGAAGTGATGATTTGGCCTTGTCTCTTCATTCCACTTTTGTACTTGTGCCTTTATTATCGGCACGCTACGAGCGGTTCTTTATCATTAATGTATATATTGTATTTGTGTAATTACAAGGGGACCAAACACAGATAATTAATTATATCTTCATCGAAGTTGCAAGCGCATTTATTTAGGACTTTGTTGTTATTATTGTTACTTTTGTACTTTCCTATTATCGTTTCATTAATTTATTTATTCTTACCAAAATTGATATATATTTGACTTAATCACACTGGGTAGATATCTACTATAAATCTAGCAATACTAAATTGTTACATATGTTTGGAAACTCTGGTCATTGATCACGTTGCTTTACACTGTGTTTGACTTTACGGTGCACTGTTCGAACATTAACTCAGCAGTTAAATAATTGAAATTTTCAAATTCAAAATATCTTTATTCATATAGGTCTATTACAGACTCTTATGATATGTTAAATCTACCGTCAGTTCGGAATGATTTCGAGATGAGAAGAACTGACAAGAAACTCAGCTCGTTTTTTAAATGTTGTACATATTTACAATAATACAATTTCATTTAAATTCAAATATAGGAGAATACAGTGACAACCAGCATATTCTATTGAAAAAAAATCAAAAAATCTAATCGGTGTTCGCAACCTGAACAGACATACATATGTAGAAATAAGAACATATTTGAAGTTACAGCTATTTGTTTCTTCAGCCTTTGTATTATTTTGTACGTACGTACGAATCTATGTATTTGTCTATGTCATAAATAAGAAAGAATAGAGTTAAATTAATTAGTCGTGAAAAACCGTGATGGGTCGCTAGAATAATATAATATTATAGATATCTATTTCAAGGGACTTGATGCGTTTGGTATCAGTTTTGATAGAAGTGATACGGACTCATCAGGAATGATACGGCTAATTTGAATAGAAATTTGGTAATAACGGGAATTAACTGTTTTTATATTAAACTAATAAGGCTAACTAGTAGTGCTTGCAACTTAGTATGCATCGAATTTGTAAATCACGATCTATTAATGATAATCAAAGGACAAATAAAATATTTAAAGCAACTTGTTTAGTATAATTATTTAATTATATTAATATATAATTTAATTAATAAAATTTTTGATGGCATATTCAAAGTATTCACAAAACTATGCAAGCTCAGGAAAGCTTTTCTTATCTTTCTTTAGAAACATATTCAGTGAAAATTTCATCTTAATTCCTCTAGTATTATGTGATATCTTATCTATCACACAGACAGATAAACAAATGGTTTTCACGGAGATATAATGCCTTTACTATTTTATTATATGTAAAGATGAACGCCACCATCTGATGGGGCTCACCATCTGATGGTGTTGAATAGTAAATGCTACCTACATATGTGTATCTATAAAGCTATAGATAATTTATTTGTTTCAACATTGTTTTAAATACCTAATATTCTGATCATCACAATTTATATAGTCTGGTAAGCAATAAAATGGTTTATTTCTATCCATTTTCATGAATTATTTATAGTTTAAGGTAAATATTAGGCCAAATATTTAATGTCGAATTATATATAAACCAAATTATTAATCATAATTATCTAATATTTTATTGTTAATTTGTTAAACAACATCAAGGGATATCAGTCATGAAGTTTAAAAAATATTTTTAACCGATTATAAAGAGAACAGCATTTTAAATCGACTATTTTTGAATTGAATATGCATTTATTTTAAAATATATCTATGAGAATTTAAAAAAACACCTTTGACTTCCCTTCTTTGTGATTACGGAAGAGCTCAAAACTTAAAGGTAGGCTAATTTGGGTTAGTACCACATCAAGAAAGAGGTTTAGTTATTCATTAAGAAAATAATTTTAACTTTTCTTGTTCTACTTAAAATAAAAAAAACATAATAATTAAAAAAAAATATACAGTTTTAATCGACATTGAACTTGTGACACAATAATTTATATTATGGTAAGATCTTAGATTAGATAAAATGGAAACAAATCTACTTGATATACCTTGATATACACTGAGTAATTTTATATAATATTAATTTCTAAAATATCATAAATATAATATTTACCACTGATAGGAAAAATGGTGTAATATTTTGAATCACTTCACTGTAACAATCACAGGCACAAAACACTTTTTCGATGATCGAAGAGAAATATTTTTCTATCACTCGACTTCCAACATATGCATGGAAAGTTCCTTCCATGAGGAAGTGTGCGGCGAGGTTTGAACTGAACTGGTTCCTGTAGCGAGCTCTGTAGCCCGCGCACGCGCCCTCCAGCCCGGGGCGTGACCTAGACCCTGAAAACGCCACCCTCTTGCCCACGCAAAGCTCGTTACCATAGCAACCAATTCAAATTGCATTTGTGTCAAGAACACATTTTTCTTGTGCATATTTTGAAGAAGTTCCTGAAATGTATAGATCATGGTAACTAGATGGATTGTTCCTATCAAATTATTCAGAAAATTTGATATTGCATAATATATGTCACGCGGAAGCGCAATCAGGAAAGTGGAGCGGCTAGTGCTTGCTCCACCCAACCAACGATGTAGCTTGCACGGCATTGGTCTTCCCCAGGAATGGAATGAGGACTGCTGGCCTTCCGGGCGAAACATTATTGACGACAAACAACATCCAGCTAGGTTTCGAACCTATTACGTCGTCATTGCCTAAGTACACATATAGAGTCGCCTACTTCAGTGAGTAGGTATGCATATATTATATAGTGCAACTTGAAACTTGGATCAAGTTCCACTCACATATGTATATTTATACATTTTATGTATCTGATGGACAATGACAACTGGACCATAATAATTAGTAAGTATCAGAAGTTTTATTGCATCACTCATATGTTGCGAGTAAGAACTAAGGCGCTATCGTCGTGTCGTGTTATTTGGTGTATGCTTATAATTAAAACATATTAATGTAGTACCAATTTCAACTTTAAAATAACATAGAGTCATCTGTTATTTTAGGGTTGAAATTGGTAGAACAGTGTTCTTTGTCCTGACGTTATACAAAAGCTAACGTTATGATAGGCAGAAAAAAAACAGTTATACAAGTAGAATGGTAAATATGTTGACGGTCAATCTAAGGTATATAGTTAACCGTCAGCTATATATATTTATGACCAATAAAACCGAAAATATTACCAAATACATAGCTAGTTGCTCCTATGCCTTAACTCACTTTAACAATTTGCTTGACGTCAAAGAAGTCGTTATAAAAATTAAATTATGTAATCATCACGAAAAATGGTTTGGTTAAATGATTTAATTATATTATTACTGAAATTACTGTGTAGTTAAAAACCTACGAGTAAACGTATAAACCAATAAATACTTTACTGTCGCATTGTGATGCTGTCCCTCAATATTATAACCAGTGATTCGTGAAGAGGTACTCGCATGCTCTAAGAGCCTTCCACTATTGCTTGATCATGAAGTCGGCCAATATATCAAGGCTCTTCTTAGTTTTATACTAAGAAAAATATAAAGATATTGTTCGCGAATGGCATGTTGTATGCTGTGCTTTCATATTTATAGAATAGAATAGAAAATCATTTATTCAAATAAACTTACATTGAAGCACTTTTGAATAGTCATAACATTTTTTTTATATTATATTATATATATATATATATATTTTATATATATTATAGCTATTTTGTTCTATTCTATTCTTTTACATCCTATATTTATCGCAATAATAGAACTGTGATGTAGTCCAAAACAGTTCTATGGTACATCAAATTTCACTTGTTACATATGTAAGCGTAGTTCATGTTCAATTCTTATAGTATATATTATTCTGTAATACTAGTTTTATTATTAGACAATTATTTTCTATTAGTTCTTGATATATATTTCAGGTTAGATTCTGTACTTGCATATTGAGAAAACATTGTATTGGTATTTTAATTACCATACCATTACCCTAGAAATTGTACCCGAGTTGTTCGATCTATATATTTATATATCCATATTTTTTTTATTGTATTGATATTGCGTTACTCATCTCTAATGATGCAAAGGTTGTCAACAGAATGTCAACACCAAAATGGTAGGAAATGAGGAGAGACAAAAAAAGACGAAAATATATTAAGTAGTTTAATAAAATTTCTTCAATATAAGAATATGTCCGATTCCATCTATATAATACAAAGCATTTCAAAAAGGGAAAATACCTACGTATAAAATACAACCTTCTGTACCTTCACAATGGACTCGTGTCCTGCGTTCTACACTCAAGACCAGCTTGTATCATATGCTTTACAAGAAATACTTACCCGTTCATCTTGTTCAACCGCAATTTTGTACAATATACGACCTACTACAACTCATATTCACAACATTCACACCAGTGCATTCAATTTCCATCAGATTTCCACCCAAGAATACCGCATTTAGGTGTTAGTACAAAAGGGACAATACTTGCAAATGTTAGGGATGTTTATGATTGCAAATCCACGGAACACATTATTGAGATATTTTTTAACTAATTTGGATAATGTAATAATGTCCCAATAGAAGTAACTTTATAGGTGTTGGGTAAAAAATACATGAACAAACATTTACAAAAATAGTATTAGTTAAACACCTAACATTGAGAAGATATCCTACATAATACTTCATGAAGCAACAAGAGTATAACTATACTTGGAAAATAATTTTAATAAAAATGGTTTAACGCATATTGCAATGCGTAATTAGCATCTGTTGCCTCGCATGCGGTATCTATAGGTCTTATGAACGTTTCATCTCAAGTTTGAAAGATATTATAAAACTACTGAAAGGAATAATAAAATTCGATATACATCATATAAAATTCTGAAAGAAAGCACCCTGAAGAAACAGATATTGCCCTACAAAAGACACATTTAATTACCAACGAGATCGTTTATTGCACTATAATCATTAATAATTTCCGACTACCCCCATGTGGGGTAACAGTCTTCAAGGTACATTATTTTATTGGCATGCATTACATTTTTGTAGATAAATTCATAATGAATATGTACAGATGACAGTTTTGTATAAAATAATGGAACCATAATTTTGAGATATTCGTTTCCGCACTAAAACATACATCGGGTCCAAACATCAAGATACTTAAGGTTGACAACGACAATAAATAAATAAAATGTGTATAATACTATATGTACAATGTGACTCTCATTACATTTTCTAGCTAATATTTCGAGATTTTACAACACATGGCGGTACATTTTTTTAATATTTCACGACAACGTTAGGAAAACAAGTTAGGACATTGTAAAAGAAGTAACCTCTGTGATGACGCCGTATAATTTGAGGTTAGATGGAATAGACAAAAGCTAGAACAACTAGGTATATTTCATCATTTTAAACAGAATAGAAACTAGTAGAGAGGTTTTGTTGGACATAAACAAATAATTTTGTGGGTAACACAGTCGTTATTTTAAAGGAGCCGACCCATCCTTATTTCTGCGAACGTTCTAGAACGTTTCGGGCTACTCAACACTAGGCTATGTTTAGAGGATCTGGAAGAGTTTCTTCAGTTCCACCATGAGTTGCCAATCCGTCTTGATGAGGTCGTCGCGGAAGTAGTCCTTGCAGGCGTCGATACTTGCACGCGATATCTGTATCAAAAAACAAACATTACTCATTAAACAAAATGTTTAATATACCTATGATTTGTACGATATTTTTGTATATGCTGTGTATAATACACATGCATACACCAGGTATGCGAGTGTGTGCGCGTGCATATAAATGGGCTAACCACAAGAAATTATGTACTAATTAAACAATACAAAACATATTTTATGTATCATTTTAAATAGTTTTCAAATTAAACCATTTGTTGAAAAATACGTTATGAAAATGAACACAGGTTATATGTTATGTATGTTTTATGTCAGTTCAAGGAATGTCGACACTAAGTATCCACATCATTGCTTAATTAATTTACAAAAGAATTATAACATTGCCATTATTGTTAACACAAACGAGGCATACGGTGAAATAAATATTGTTACAGCAATGTTACCAATAAATTTCTTATGTTTACATATAAATAATCGAATCCAACCAACGAGCGCATTTGTCATTCAGAAACGTTGTATAAATAATTACTACAGACCGCCGTTGTATTAATAAATATCCTAAATTTAAACTCCAATCTGTATTCTTATAATTATGTACAATCTCATTTGAAAACAAAGTTTCTAGTCAGTTCTTCGGTAGATTTGACTTTCCATAAATGTCTGTATTAGACAATTATTATAGTTTTATTTCATTAGAAAATCATTTAAAATCCTCACACAGTAATGATACAATAAATAAGGTCCACACAATTTCAAGAGGAATAACCGAAGAAATATACAGAAAAACATACAGCCTCCTTGAATCACCATCTTATTTAAATCGGTTGAAAACTACAAACGCATTAATCTAAAAATATTCCGGATGTGTCACTTGTACCACTAAATATAACTGGAGCATGAGACATTTTCATCTAGGAGAAGTTGTATATTGAATACAATTTACATAAATAAAACATAAATATAGTAAAAATTGTAAACTTATCGCCATAACTATATGTTATATGACAAAATTTAATTGCAGCCTACTGAGACATCCGCAAAAACTGGTTCCGGAGGCTGACACGCCAAAAATAGCGACTCGCGTTGAATGTACAAGTGGTTCATTCAGGTCGACCCACTTTGGGGCGCATCGATTCAGCTCTTGGAGGTGAATGGGGCTATGACGTCATAGAGAAAATAGGACAGGTTGTGCAAGCAGCGAACTAGGTCAGAAGCACCCCTCGCGCCGCTGCGACCTCGCTGCAGCCGCTCCAGGGGCCCTCGGCAACGGCATTGGGCCGAGCCCAGGAACCACATTACAGTGGAATATTGAATGTCTATTTTTAGAACAGTGAATGAAGGCTGTGCATTCGACGCAGGTATAAATATGGTACCATATTAAGTAAATATAGTGAAAAAGACATAATATTAGGTGATAATCAATCAATAATGTATGTACATACATGTAGAATGATTTTATTTTAAAATTATAGTATAAGGAAAATTATCTTGATACAGGATAATAATAAAAATCAAGGACATTACAATTATATATGTGTTTATTTGTTTAAGTTCGATTTTATGATCCATAACATCGTAGTAATAGGATTGAGTAGAGAAGAATTTAAACTATAAATAACGTAATTTATGTATGTGTCAACCACTGCATGGACGGCTGGTTCTATTACAATAAAACAGTAAGAAGCAACTTACGATATTACTTGTGTAGTATAGAAACAATTAATTTATATAATTTCTCATGTGGGGCTGCAGATGAATAAATATCGATCTTTTATATTTTAGGTTCATAAAAACTATTGGACTGAATGCAATATTAACATGTAAGCCTACGCACATAATACTAAGCCTTACTTTAGGTATTCTGGAAATTATTGAAATACATTCCCATTCCCATTCTAACTGATATCCGGAAGGTAAAGTATTTCTTATTCAATATTCATTTATTTTTTTATTATATTGTAATTTCTATATTAATATTTTCAAAATAACTATACCGAACTAGTAACATTTATAACTGCATTTCTATTTCAAGTCTACCCATTTTAATCTTTCATAATGAGAGACAAAGCAAAATTGTCATAAAAACAATTTACTTTACAGCGATATAGTGTTCTATAACTATAATAAATGTATAAGTAGGCACTTCATCAATGAAACCGTACTGCGAAATATCAATGGATCACCTAGAATGAGTTTGACCCGGTCATTGAGCGTGTGTGCAGAGAATGCGGCGACACGCAACTGTTCGCATGTGTGCCTCCTTGCGTTTTCTACCGATAACATAGCAATCCCACCCTTAAATACTTAGCTACAAGAGTCATAAAACAATGTATAGCCTACGATGGCTTAGATGTCATCAAATGATAGAGCTTTATGAATAAGTAATTTTCTTATATATTTAGCAATGGTGGCTACAAGGACGTCAAAAGCAGCCATCAATCATAGCCGCCCACATGCTAAACTTAGCGAACGCACGGAATTAATCGATTATCTTATTATTAAAACTAATATATAAGTAGCTATGTAAGTAAGGAATACTAGAAACGTACATAACCGGCTCTGTGTCACCGAGTACGAGTTATCGAAACACTCTAAATCCAACCAAAGACAATTTTTTTAATGTAACTGAAATGGCAAAAATGATAGATAGTGGTAACTGTGGATATAGGTCACAGTTACCACTATCTATCAAATTTTTGCATGAACAGTACAATGAACATCAAGTTATCATGTGACGCCCGTGATACCACTCATCTGTTGCCATTCCGGAAGACTAAAACCTTTTTATCCTGTAATTTATTTGTCTTACTTCACTAAAATACGTGTCATAAAACAAGCTGCGGCTGAAATAGAACTTAGATACTCATACAGACGACTTTACAAAGTATACTTTGGCAAAAAGAAAGGTTCGGATCGATCTCAACGCCATAGATACAGCAAATATATAAACCCGTCCACTCTCACCAAACATTATGATGGATTAAACAAATTAGGAAACTAGTGTTGCAATAGAGATGTTCGCAAAACGAGTTCGCCAATTCCAAAACGAGCCTCGAAAGCGGGAGCTTTCTGGTAAAACTAATAATGTATATAACTTTGCTCATTAATCACTTGTTCATGAAGTAGTTGGATAATGAAACTCTTTTGGGAGTGAATGTGGACATGATCAAGCCGTGAACAAACACTCACCTAACGCATGGAAAGCTGTGACGTCACGATCCAAAAATACTGCGGCCTTCGCACGGGTGACGGGGAACATCCGAGTTCAATCGGCTTTTATGTTGTTCACGCGAACATTACATACACGTTATTAACAAAAATATCGGAGACAAGACAAGGGCGACTATTATATGTACAGAAATACATACAGTGGGATAATTATAGCATATTCGGCCAAAAAAGGTATAGCTCTGTGACTCGGTAGAAGGTGGTCGGGCAACCCTAAGTGTACCTATATTGATGTTTGGATTGTAAAAGTAATGTAATTGCAATATTAAATTGGACGATTAAGTAAATAGCCTGATTCCAATTTTTTAGAATAAAATTAAGGATTTATAAACTCATCATCAAACTCATCTCAAAGGTAATTATAAAAAATGGTATATGTAGTAATAATATTTTAATGATCACTAATATATTAGTTATAAATGTAATGTTACTGTAAAAGTACCATTACTAATATGTAATGTGTTACGAATATGAACAATGACAATAACAAAATAATATTAATTTGATTTAAAATATTTGATGCGATAAACTCTTGTGAATCAAGTACCAAAGATTCTGGAGAGAAATTTCTAAACAAGACCAAAACTGACCGCTTTCAATTGACCGACGAATCATCTAATCTGAAACTTCATTTCGTACCGTGCTAAAATGTGTTACCGTGACCTTCAAAATAGCGATCACACAAAGTAAAGAAACAACTAAATATAAAGCTAATATACTATTAATTTGTTTGAATTTCATTGCAAATCATCGCTTTATAATGTATCTTTAATCGTATCAAATAAGTCAATCCTAAATGCATTTATATCCATAACAATTCAGTCATTATTAAATAATAGATATCCTGATCATCTACACACAATACTGCATTTATATTAGCTATTTCACTAGTTACAGCGTAATACCCAAATGTATGTTTTATAATGTCACCAGCATCGATATCGAATACATACATCAATAAGTACATACAATACTATTATTAGCAATATCTCAAGCTGCACCGAGTGTCCCTCGTCCCGCGATGTCAACTTCCCCTCGACCTAGTGACCTGTACCGTCCCCCTCCCCTGCACTTCGTTCACCCTGCTGCATGCGATCAATGGATGTGTGGGGAGGGGATCCATTGATGCAAACCGCTGTTTGCATTGATATTGTAGAGTTGCAACCATGAATGAAAATTCCTCAATTGGGTTTAGGCGCAAATATAATGTATTTCTTTTATCCAACATATCATTCTTTCACTGCATATCAATAAAACATTATAAACATCCGGACTGCACGACTTTGAGATATTACAATCATTTCACTATTTTCAACCTACATCGATGTAACAAAATATTTAATTGGATTGTATCCAGGTAATTTGAAAGTTTGCACTGTATTTACAAAAAAAAATTACCACGTTATGATAATACCTTTTGCACAGATCGCAGATTAGTTATCCAATGATGGAAATGGCAATAACAATTATTCTATTATTGCTACAATTTAAGAGTTTCAAAAACCAAGATTTTAGTAGTAGCATGATCACTCTCGTAATGATTCAATAATTCTCGTAATCATTCTCTGTATGATTCTGTATATCTAATGTATTCAATACATTGTATTTTTTTCTTATAATGTCTTTGTAGGGAACTGTAATGCGCGAGTCCAACATAAAATAAAGCTGCCCATTACTGGCTAGTTTAGTGACGTAGAAGCATGTTCGTCTTTGTGTTTTTGTTTTCAACAAACTATTACAAAGAAAGAAAAGTACCCATATCAGGCTACGTCTAGGTTAAAATTAAATGTGTTTCGATTATTTTT